GCTGCAACTATTTTAGCAATTAAGATATCCAGGTTGATGAAATCAGCCTCCTCTTGTCCCTCTTGAACTCACCGAGTTTATTTTTCCGTCTCGCTGCCGAGCACAAGGGAACGCCGCCCCTTGGAAAATACGTGCCACATCCAGCTCAATCACCGTCACATTCAACCACCCCTTTACAGGCATCCAGTGAGGTTTGTTTCAAATATCCTTACTCTGTCAAGCACGCAAGGTCATGGTTTTGCAAACCCTTTCTTCATTAAATCGTCATAAAACAATCCCTTAAACCCTAAACCCTAAACCCTAAACCCTGAGTCTAAACCCTACACTCTGGTCTCCCTTTGCCTCGTTCATCGCTGGCAGGTTCCCGCGCCTCCGCCCAGCAACGCCAGCAACAAAGGCCCTTGGGGTTTTCCGGGTGCCGGGGTAGTTCGATTAGGGTGTAAGGGTTTGTTTTTTTTGGGGGGGGTTTGGGGTTATGAGTCATGGGTTTGGGGGTTTAGGGGCGTAGGGTTTAGGATTTAGGGTTTAGGGGTGTTTGGGCTTTGCTGGTTAAGGGTGTTTGATAGGGTTTTCTGCATTCGATGGCTGCGCATGGTGTAGGGTTTATCAGGGTTTCTTGCCGGGTCTTATTCATGTATTGCATCCCACATGAAGCTGACCAGCATTACTCGGCTGCGACAGTCCTTGCGATTCTCCAGCTCCCAGGGCTTACAGTTACTTTGCATACTTGCAGACTGCTTTTCACGGGCAGTTGATGCGCACAGGGCCAGATGAGCTCTTGATCCTTCTTCGGCTAGACCGGCCATATGCCGGAGGCTCTGGCCGCCTTTTGCAGACGGATGTACGGTTGGCTTCTCGCCACCGCGTTCCAGACCCTGACAAGGACTGGCCGGCCTGGCCTGACATCCTGTTAGGGGTTTAGGGTTAGGGGTTAGGGGTTTAGGGTTTCGGGTTTAGGGTTTTACGGTTTTAGGGTTTAGGGTGGCTAATCGACCGACGAAGTTCAAGGGCTGGGTTCTGCGTGGAGGTTGGTAGATGCCAAGTTGTGACAGCTTTAGACGGCCTACATCCAGCCATCCCAGTGCTCATTGCACCGCCCAAATCGCCGAGTGAGCCAGCTGCACGGACAGAAGTGCGCATTCCTTGCAAAAGACTCTTTGGATCAAGGCTACCCTTGATCTTGCCAAGCACAAACGTGCACGGCTACCGCGCACAGTTGTGCGCAGCCTGTGGCAAGCTCTTCGCGTCGTCTGGACGTCTTCAGCGGCACTTGGCCTTCAGCAACAGCTGTGCTCAACTTTAGGGGAAGCTTTCAAGCAAACGATGCTATGCTTCCGGCTGTACATGCCCAGGCTCCCCCTGAGCATGTTCCGGGCCACCGCATGTTCCACCGCTCCCCTGGACTTCCAGGCCCCCCCCCCCCAATTCTGCCACTCTGCCACACTCCTCATGCACCGACTCCCAGGCTGAGGAGACACAGATTCGGGACACGATTACGGAGCACATCGAGCCAATCCAAGTACTCAGGAACACTCTTCGCAGTTGGGCCGGCTCGATCCTCTGTGTGTGTATGTATGTATGTATGTATGTATGTATGTATGTATGCATGGATGTATGTATGTAGGTAGGTAGGTAGGTAGGTAGGTAGGTAGGTAGGTAGGTAGGTAGGTATGTATGTATGTATGTATGTATATGTATATGTATGTCTATATGTGCATGCACGTATATGCTTTCTCGGCAATGGGACCCGTAACCTCAACCTCAACCCTTGCAGGCACGATGGAGACCGAAGACTCAGTCAAGAGCTCGGCTGGTCTGGGCTTCCAAAGCTTTGCATTTTGAGTTTAGGGGCCGCATTTGGAGCTTGGGGATTTGAGTTATGGCTTTAAGTCGTTAGGCTTTGTTAGTTGCTTTTGGAGTTTTTTGCGGGTTTCAGCTTTGCCTTTGAGTTTGGGGCTTTGGGTTGAGGGTCAGAAAGTCAGGGCATTACGGTGTCCATCGCGAAGATAATGAGGCCGAGTCTTTTTGGATTGAAGCACTGGTGCTTGAAGTTCGGGGTGCAGAGTTCAGAGACTTTGCAGGTTCTTGCCTTTAGTATTTACCTCACAAGGTATCAAGCATTCGTGGCTTGCGCTTGGATCTACGTAGTAAAGATTGAGCATTGCAAGGCTTGCAGAGTCTTTATGTGGTGTGTCGCAGGTTTGCAGGGCTTAGGCCGGGCGTGCCTAAATCCAAAACCCTAAACTCGGCAAGACCGCAGGAATCGACGAGTCCCTGATTCGGGAGGGCAATGTAGGAACCTGATCGTTTTTGTATAATTCCTGCGCCTTCCTGATTCTAGCGGTTCTGTTTACATCCCACATCGTATTGTATTCCAATCATTCATACTACCAGATCTCCCGATTATGGCAGCTGAAATCCAGTTCCTGGTGTAGCCTTAGCCGTCGGGTTAACAAACCTTACTTGGAGGCATCCTTTAGGATTCAGCTAAAGAGTTCAAGAAGGCTTTCTTGACGAGTTCTTTGCGGGAGTTGGGGGTACTTAGTCAGAGGAGTTTAGCAAGTAAGTAGTCTGCAGTAAGTATATAAAAACACCCTGAACCCGAAGCCCTAAACCCTTATGATATAGCTATGGATATGACCCTGCCTGCTAGCTCCCCTGAGTCTCTTGGTTAGGGTTCACTTGGAAGCCTCAATAATTACCGATACGATTCCTTAGGTTTCCCTTGCTATGCTTATTCTTGTACTGCAATATACACCAAAGCTCTATTCTAACCACCAAGGCCCCTACATTTCTGAAGTGGAACGCTTCTAAGGCTGAGGGTTTAGGACCCAATGATGGACGTTTAGGGTTTAGGGTCTCGGGCATAAACTTTGGAGAGGCAGAGCCAATAAAGGAATTGTTTAGGACCTATAAACGCCTACAGTCCCTATGGAATCATGATGGTTTTTTATTTGTAAACGCCAGCCTAATTATACAAGGCCCCTACAATACCGGTCTTTAGGGTCTCTGGGTTCACGGCAGATGGCAATGCTTTGACTTCTTCCCTTGAGTTTGAGGGCAGAAGGCGTCTTGAGACATGAGTTGTATTTTAGGCCCTCGGCGTGAGAGTGTTTGGTGTAGGATTGATCCTGTGTTTAAAAACTTAGGGCAGCGTGTGCTTGAAGGTCTGCAGGAGCGTGTCGTGAATGCGACAGGGCTTTCGGCGCCCGTATGCTGAACCTTGAACCCTAAACTCTGATCTGGAAGCCTGGTTCCATGACCCTAAACCCTAAACCCTAAACCCTATATTATAAACCCTAAACCCTAAACCCTATATTATAAACCCTAAACCCCTAAACCCTGGACCTGGGGGTCATCAACCCCAGGACCGCAACAGGTCCGAGTTCCTTCAGATCGTCACCTGCTGGCCTACGCTGCACACGTCGTTGCAGGGTTTAGGGTCTAGAAAAAAAGAGGTCTGTTTGATGGCACCATCCAGTCGCCAGGGTCTCCAGCCTGCCACGAGCACTGAATCAGGGACGCCGGTGGCACATATATACTAAAAAGAAGAAGAATACAGAATAATATGCATACTGTTACGATTATTAATGACATGTCATCTTACGTTTATTTGTTATGTATGAAGAGTCGCTACATGCTAATCTTATGATGTGCGCCGGCATGGCAACCTTCTGATAATGGTTCGCAGCGGCGGCGGGCGTGTTCTGGTCCCAGGATGGATCGGGTTGGATCAGGGCCAGCCGAGGATGTCCTGAAGCAGACGCAGGCGAGAAATATAAGATAGCATAAGAGAATACATTGTAACATGTTCTATATCACTACATCATATGGGTATATCTTGTACACAAAAAAGAAATACTCTAAACCCGAAGCCCATATCCCTACACGAGGTGTTTAAGACCAAACAGACAAAACTGCGACTCTGAACAAAGGCCCCGCCGGCATCACGCCCTGAGCGTGTGGATCTCAGCTGTTCAATTCCTGTGGGGTGAGGGGAATATCCGGGTCTGAGTAACCAACACTACTGCTATTCTTTCAACCCTCGGTTTCCATGATGTGTTTGTATTACAGAAACCCCCAAAAGCCTAGCTTAATTATTCTGGCTTCTATGTTCGACCTTAAAAAGTTCAATCGTTGTTGGATTGATTCCGAAGAAAGGAAGGCACCTTAACCCCTAAACTCCAACTTCTAGATCCTACACCTTCATGAAACCCCGTAAAGGACCCTAAACCCTAAACCCACTTAAAGACCCGAGATGTCTGTTAAACAAACCTCCGCGAGTCCCAGGTCCTTTCAAGCCGAGGATGACAGCCAAGCCGGGATGCCAGGCGATGTAGGGTTTATTAGGGTTTAGGGTTTTAGGGTTTTGGGTTTAGGGGTTTAGGGTTTAGGGTTAGGGGTTTAGGGTTTTAGGGTTTAGGGTTCAGGGGCATTGCGTTCAAGGTTTGGGGTGTAGGGTTTAGGGGCATTGAAGGGTTTAGGGAGGTTGCTCTCAAGGTCTCTTTTGAAAACGGTGGTCTGTTCTTGGTATGTGTGTGTGTGTATGTGTGTATGTGTGTATGCATATATATATATACATATATATATATATGTATATATATATACATACATGTATATATATATATGTATATATGTACATGTATGTATATATACATGTGTATATATATATGTATATATATATGTATATATATATATGTATGTATATATATATATGTATACGTTTGGTGTTGTGGTTGTTTGTAGGTTTTTGATGTTTCCACAGGGGTTGCTAAACAAGCTCTTTCAAACTCAAGCGCCGAATCTTTGAGACTTTGGGCTTATGGTTTAGAGATCGCCGGAAGTTTTAGGTCGGATCCTCTACGCCGTAAGCCCGTAGAAACCCATAAGAAGCCCTATAGAAACTAAAAACCTTACACCCGAAGTCCCACGAGCGAGGTCTTTCGCCGCTATGGACGCCTTTGCTGGGGGAAAAAACCGTGCTGAAAAACACGTTTCGAAGCCCCACGAGATCCTCACACAGCCTATTTCAGAAAGAGCAGCAACACCCTCCTCCATAACTGCTCCAACCTCCACCCTGCAAAACTCCAAAAGAGCCCAATACAGGTTCGCCAAAAACCGAAGAATCAACCCCTACCGCCATAGAGGTCAGCCCCGACTTCTGCAGGTGTTCGTCAAGAACTTGGACAAGGCTACGGGTGAGCCGGAGCTGCGAGATCTCTTTGCCAGGCTGCCGGGGAGGGGGGGGGGGGGTAGGGCTTAGGGTTTCGGGGTTTAGGGTTTAGGGTTAATTTTGGGGGGGAGGGTAGGGTTTAGGGGTATAGGGGTATAGGGGAATAGTGGTATACAGGCTATTGAGGTTATGAGTTTCGTGTTTATGGTCTAGGGTTTAGTGCTATAGGGTTTAAGGATTTAGGTTTTGGGGTTTGGCGGTTGGGGTTGAGGATGCTATCAGTGTTGTTTCGGGGCTCGCCTGGTTGTCTCTGGCTTTGGGGTTGTTGGGGCTTTTGGGGCTCACAATGGTTTGGGGCTTAGGCTGTCTCGCCTTAGGTGATCCAAACCGAGACCCATCCCGTGACCGATACTTGTAGCTGTTGAAATCGAAACCACACATTTTCTAAACTCCTACCTACACCCAATTAGACAACCTTAAAACCGAAGTTCTAAGCCTATAAACCCAAAGCCCAAGATAGCCCTAAAACCGAAACGAGGCATGGCACAGTGCTAGATGTCGAGATGGCGACGGAGGAGGGTGCCAGTCAAGAACTCGGTTTCTGCCAGCTTTTGGTTTCCGGGGTCTAGGAGTTTAGGGCTTAAGGGTTTCAAAGTTTAGGAGTTTGCGGTTTAAGGGGTGTAGGAGTGTGGGAGTTTAGGGTTCAGGGTTTGCGGGTTTTTGTTCGTAGCTTTCTGGTGGTTTAGACGTTAGGCCCGAACGATATACTCCCGAGCTATGAGCATGAAATCATATCAGAGTATCACTGCCAGTAGTGTTACTCCCCGGACATAACGAGGAAGAAAGTACTACAGCTTTCCAGAATACGGCAAGCACCTCATCGATGCCTGACCAGTGCCTGACTACCGGATCCAAACCTCCTGAATCTTAAGTCAGACGCAGGCTTGGGTCTGTAGGTACCGTTTATGTAGTACCCTGAACCCTAAACCCTAAAGTGCCCTAAAGCCTACAACCGTGTGGGTGGTCTCCTCCCCCCTGAGGTGTCGCAAAAGGCTACGCCATCGTGCTCATGTCCAGCGCCAAAGAGGTGCTACCAAGCGGTCGAGAACGCTGAACCCCCCCTTCAGGGCTGTAGTTTTGGGGGATGTCCTATAGGGTCTTTATAGTATTGAGGGTTTTATTGTGCTGCTTAATGAGCGTTGTAGATGAGAGCGAATATCTAGTGGTAGTGTTCCTTAGGGTTCCCGAAGATATGGTGAACGGTTAACCCCGAAAGCCTGATTTCGTCGGCCCATATACTGGAGCTTGGGATTGCGGGTCCAGGCTTTGGGGCTTAGGGTTCAGGGTCATTGCAGAGCTCAGAGTGCAGGTTTTAGGCTTGCTACCCCCAAGCAACCATCCGTCTCCACAGCAAATCGTCTTAGAGCCATCGGCCTCATCCATCGAATCATAGGCCGAAAGGGTGCTTGTTAACAACTGAGGTTCTGGTTGGAATTCGGGTGGGGTTAAGGGTTTAGGGTTAAGGGTTTAGGGTTAAGGGTTTAGGGTTTAGGGTTTAGGGTTAATGAAGATCACCTTCAGCTTAAAAGCCCTTTGGGCTTCCAATACTTACCAGAGGAGGACGGGGCCTTTGGGGACCATTTTACAGTTTTCCCATATGGGGATTTCCCAAAACAGGGGACCCGAATATAGTGCCTTAAATAGCAGGATCCCCCTTATAAGGACCCCAAAAGAGGGTACCCCTTATTTTTGGAAACTCTCACAGGGGGGCCTCAGAGGAAGAGCCAACCTGGACTCCTTCCTGCCCAGGAAGCAGCAGTACCCAGAGAAACCAATACCCCTTAATTAAGGAGTATACCTTAAACTATCGGGGCCTTAATATTATGATTTAAGGTATATTCCTTAATTAAGGAGTCAGGTTCTCTGGGTACATCAGAGCTCATGGCTGCCCGAACAGAAGCCCTCGGCAACGTGGACAGCCCTGCTATAGGGGCCTCACCTGGGATGGTTTTGGGGTTATACTACATCATAACATACTATAAGGATCATTAGGAAACCTCAAAACAGTATTGGTAACTATTTGGGGTATACTACATCATAACATACGACAAGGATCATTATTAGGAAACCTCAAAACGGTATTGGTAATTTAACATACTAGAAGGATCATTAGGGAACCTCAAAGCAGTATTGGTAGTTATTTCGGCCCCTATAGCAGCCACTGAGAGGGAATCCAAAGTTCAAAGAGCAGAAGATCGCCGGGGCGAAAACGGGTAGTCCTCTAAATGAGGGTTCCTTTTAGGGTCCCTTTTTTATATACGGGCACCCTAATTTAGGGAACTACCCATGTGCTTTTTTTGAAACTCCTTTTAGGCAGGCGTTTGGACAAGATCCCTCTCGTTGAGGCGATCTCAAGAGCGCTTTGGGCCAGGGATGTGCTGGCAAAAGCGTCTGAGGCGGAAAGTTCGTCGGCGAAGTCATGGAGCCTTTCGCCTCGTCCTTGCGCCCCAAAGTGATGGCCTCCACCCCGAAAGGTGGAGATGGCGATGCCCTAAACTCTAAACCCTGAACCCTAAACCCTTAATCAAAGCCCTAAGCCCTAAACCCTAAACCCTGAACCCTTAACCCTAAACCGCTTGCACACTTGGCAAGAGAAAAAGTATACCAAGAACCAGACCACAAAGGCCGTTTGATGTAGGGGCCTACATAATTCCCAATGCTATTTTTGGGGGGTTCCTTATTATAATTATAGTAGAATGGGCGCCAAAACCCTAGTCCAATTTATGAAGGCCCCTATATTGGGCACTCTGAGTTGGCTGCAAGAAGCTCTAGACACGAATTGTTTGAAGAACTGGACTCTAAAGACCCTTCCTCAGGGCTCCTTCTGACCCAAAATTTCCTATACTAGACTACCCATAGGCTCCACAGTAGTTCTTTTCTGTGGTTCATATTTGGGATCCTTTTAGGCAATCCCAAAAAGGAACTACTATGGAGCCTATATGGGTATGCTATACTGGACCCAAAGAGCCCAATGCTGATCATCGAGGCCCCTTAAGGCTACCATAAAGGCCCTAAACCATCCCCCGACTCAGGCGAAGCAGTGTGTCAAGGCCCTGAACTTCACCAAGCCGCCCTTCGTCTCAGATGCTTCGGAGTGTTGAGCTTCGAAAGAGTGTTGTAGGATGTTCACCTTTTTTTGCCTTGTAGAGGTCTTCGTGAGGTCAGGTGTTCACGTAGCAGTTGAGGCTTCAGCTGTCGGCTTTGGGGCCGCAGGATTTCGGGCTTTCCGATGGAGGTCAAGGACAAAGGGATGCCAATCAGACCTTCAGAAACTTGAGGGTTTCGGCATCTTAGGTTTGCAGGTTTTTTAGGGTTTGGAGTTTAGGGTCCATGGTTCTGCGGATCAAGGCTTGAGTGTCGGGCACTCATTTGCAAGCTCTCACAGCTTTCCTGCTAGTTATGCCCAGTGCCCTGGCTGTTTGCTGCGACGGTCCTCGTCGTAGGCATTTTGATTTAGGGGCTGAGTAGGTAACCTCCTTTTCGGGCTTGTATAATCCTACCATAATTGAAAGGTTAACCTTTTTTGGGCTAGGGTACTCAGCCCATAAGGATATTCTGCGGTTCACACTGATCGGTCTCCTATGATCGGCCTGAGACGTCTTGTGATTCGGGAGCGGGGCCTCGAAGCCCCCGAAGGCTGAAGCAGCAAGTCTTGGAGCCAAAGATTTAAAGCCTGAGCACCCAAAACGCCCCAAAATATCCAAAAGCCTGAAGCCCTTAACCCTAAACCCTAAACCCATAGCGCCCCAAATATCCAAAAGCCTGAAACCCTACCTCCAAAGCTTCTAAACTAGTCCCCTAAGCCCCTAAACCCTAAAAAGCCTGAAACCCTACGTCCAAAGCTTCTATACTCGTGGGGTCTGGAGTTTTCGGCGCTTGCGTCGGCCTGCGGACCATCCCGGATAATCTGTCAAGGCTTTAGGGCCCAGGGTTCAGGGTTTAGGGGTTAGGGTTTAGGATTTAGGGCTTAGGGTTTAGGGTTTTGAGTTTAGGAATGAAGGGGATTTTCGGAATTGAAAATTTAAATGTTGGTGAGAGGTACTGAGAGGTGCTATGGTCTTGCTTTTTGCGGCTGCTTTGCGTACCGGAGTGCAGTTGCGTGTCTACTACAACATGGGCGAGCCTGTCGGCGCAGTCTCAAGTGCAGGCTGTGTTGGAGATTTCTTGTAGGCATCGTCCAAGTATGTTCAACGTCCGCGCAAATCATGCACGGGATTTAGCGACCAGGTTTCCGAGTGTTACATCCTTTTTGGTACACGGCCTTGAGTATTGAAGCCCTAAACTCAACTGGGAAATGCAAAGCTTAAGCCCTGACCGAAGCTAACCCTAAACCCTAAACCCTAAATCCTAAACCCTAAATCCTAAACCCTAAACCCCAAACCCTGGCCATAGCGACCTCCACCCTTTTTTTCGAGGTGGGGACGTGCGTTAATCGTCGAGCGCGACGAGACCGCGGCTCGGCAGCAAGCTGGGATGCCTCCGCCCATGCATGATTCTACCTATAGTCTCCATTGTAGTTCCTTTTTGGGGTTTTGGGGTTTAGGGTTTGGGGTTTGGGGTTAAGGGTTTAGGGTTATAGTCTCCATTGTAGTTCCTTTTTGGGGGTTACCTTTTGGGATCCTGAATATGAAATTGGTTAAACCAAAAAAGGAACTACAATGGAGACTATCGGTACTGCTGGGTTCCTTGAAGGCCTGCTTTGAAGATTCAAAACGGGAGGGACCATAAGGGCTCTGAAAGAGGGACCTTAATATACATAATATGTATACTACGAACCCTAGCAGCTGGACTGGCCCCCTTGGATGGCTTCATTTCCGAGGCTTTGCACCGGAAGACGGCGCAATGGCCTAGAGTCGCAGACCCCAAAAAACTAAACCCTAAGCCCTGAAACCCTAATTCCGAAACCCTGAACCCCGGACGCCTAAAGCCTAGACGCAAATCTCAATCTGAATCTGGTTTTGGGTGCATGGGAAATGTGACATCCCGAGCTGCAGAAAGCCTGCAACGTCCTTGCGTCCTCACTCGCACTGGCCAGATGAAGCCTCTTCCGGGTTAAGCTTTTTGGACCCTCATTGAACCCTAAAAAACGCGAAACTCGAAACCCTATATTGGTTAAGGACTAGGGGGAGGCGGGCTGCGGTGCAGAAGTCGAAAGGCTGAAGGCGAAGTGGCAGAGGTGCCGGAGCTGCGCGACAAGCTGGGCGAGTGCAAGGTGCGTTTCGACTGCCGACGAGTTCGGTGGAGAGCAGGTGGATAGCAAAAGGTCGGAAGGCTGCAGGCGGAAGTGGCCCAGGCAGCCAAGTACAAGGCGTTCGCCGCCACCGTTGCCGAGGTACTCGAGCAAGAGTTTTCGCAACTTCAAGCCCGCCACATCGACTTGGCTCAAGGCCTTTTTCTAGGATCGAAACAGGTGCGTCAGGGCTTTAAGAGGGTTTAAGGGTGTTGGGTGATAATCTGGCCTCTAATCATTCCTGGTACCCTAGTCCTAACCAATAGGTTAAGAGCCCAACCTCACGCTTTGGGATTAGGCTGTGTTACTTCGCTGGGTTAGGGTTCTAGCGTAAACGCCTCCAACTTGTCAACTAGACTTAGCTGCTGCTGCTGAACTAAGCCAACAAGGTCGTTCCACGAGCTCGCTAGGGCCATGGACAGAAGGAGGAGGAGTCCACCTTCTGGCCAAACCCCCTCGTCAGCTGATCTCGCTCCGTTAGGATCCGAGCAGCAACGCTCCCTGGCACAGCTCAATGAGGACCTCCGCCAGAGGCTGCAACAAGAGAGAGGAGACCAGGGGCTAGAGCGCTTGCCCGAGGTTCGTGTTGATGAGACTCAAATCGATCCCAGCTATGTGGAGAATCACCATTCACCAGATCCTGCAGAGACATCAGAAAAAGGTGCAGGGTTGCAGCTGCCAGGGGTTGAACTTAGAAGTCCAGCGACTTTGGAGGAAGCGCCACGGGAAGAGCCTTTAGGTCCAAGTGCCGAAGCGACCCGAGGGTCAGGTTCAGTGGCAACAGCAAATACGAATCGCGATGAGGCAGTTGTTTTCAGAGGCAGTTACAAGACAGGCAGGTACTCTTGGACCAAGCCATGAAGATGTCGAAAGGGCCGAGTCTTTGGAAGCGAGGGCTACTAGACTTCAAGGTCCACGGCAACTGCAAACGATGGCGGCTCAGGCAGGGCCGAGCACTGATGTGCCAGGTGGCAGCAACCGTTTGGTGAGTGACCTGGGAGGGACTCAGAATCTCCTCTCTCAGGCGCCCAGAGGAAGACCGCTGTCAGAGAGAGGGGATTCTCGAGGCAACCCGCTCTTTTCTTGCTCCAGACAAGAAAGGTCTGTTTGGCCCATAGTCGCCGCCGCCCCTGATACACAGATGATGGCACGCATTCAGATGGGTGAACGGTCAGGCGGTCCTTATCGCAGCATTGGTGGGTATGATGGCCCATCGACGCGCTTCAACCAGAGGGCTATGCAAGTGTCAGAACAAGATGGCTATATCACAGGCAGTGGGAGCCTGGTCGTCGTTGCTTGTGCTAGGTTCCTCAAGTTTGCGCGACCGCTGTTTGAATGGAATCGAGTTCGGAATGAGAATGCCCCTCCTGTTTACATGAGGGTGATTGATTTGACAGGGTGCCACAAGGGAACAAAGCTCAATCCGACTCGTCCAGAACGGATCCAGAGGGTGACTGACGTGATTTCAGTCTGCCAAGGACTGAACTTCAGAGCCAATGCTATGCCCATTATCGCCTGGATGAACGACGAGCCAACAACAGAAGGGAAGGCTTACACCTACAAGCCAACATCAAGCTGGCGCAATGACACGACGTGTCTCAAGTTGGGTGTTATGTCATCCATTGCTTGGGGAGCAGGCTTGGTGCCAGGACCTGGCGGCAATGTCACTTTCACGACGACTCTTCGGACGATGAGTCTCGTCGATTCCGCTGAAGTGCTTGACAGAGGAACTATGATTCTGGCACTGGATGTGAACACTGGCTTGGCAAACACGCTCTGTGTGCCACGCTACTGGGGCACTGAGCCTCAAAAGGTTGGCTTCAGATACAACAATGCCACACAACACAACAACAGGACCAAGACTGTGATGTCCACCGTTGCTGCTGGTGCAGACTTGCAAGCGGTGGCAATACAGTATGCTGGCGAGGCTGTGCCTGGTCCAACCGACATTGGGTGGGGTATCCTCATTGAGCTGGATGCAGGCATGGGTCATGACGATCCAACTCCTGAACCAGCTCCAGCGCCACAGGCAGGGGGTGAGCCTCAGAATGCCGATGAGTGACTACCTACGGGTAAGAGGGCGAGAAAGACTGCCAAGAAGGCTCGCAAGGCAGCAGAATCAAACTCGCCGAGCATCTCACCCTCATCTGGGTCCAGTGCTTTTAGCAACACGGGCTGGTTGAAGCGCTCAGCAGCGCTGATAGGCCGTGGTGTGGTGGAAGCAGTGCGGACTTGGATTCGGGGGTGGAATGTTGTTTCACAGGTTGAAGAGGTTGATGGAATTCCAACTCCGGCGCTTAAGGTGCAAGAGAGTGATGTCGGTCCATTCCGAGACGGAAGAAACGGGCTGATACCAATTGGTGTGGCTGACAGGTCGAATGTTCTTGCAGGGCCTACCGAACTCGGGCATGACGGCTCAACACTGGATGAGTTCATGCAGTACCTTGGCTACAGCAACCCGGTTCCTGGATTTCCAGAGATGAGTTATGCTGATGTGCTCATTGCTGAGAAGAACTTCGAACTGGGGATGATAGACCGCAAGCAGCTTGCAGGCATCAGGGTTGGCAAATGCAGGTTTTCACAGGTTATGACGCCCGAAGGCTTCAGCAGGGCCCAGGATAAGGACTGTGTGAAATGCTTCGCGCTTCACTTTGCGACTTCGTGACGTTCCTGGCGAAGTGAGCTGGGAGGCTTGTAAGTGCTCTTGGTGCAGCGTCGAGCACGGGTTCGCCCTGATCCGGGGGTTGTCCCAAATGCTGGCTAGCGCTGCGTAAGGGCTTCCTTTTGGAGGTGGGTTTGCGTAGCCGGCCCGCTGCCGGGAGCCATAAATAAGTAAGCTTTCTGGAGGACGGTGATGCCGGGAGACGTCTCAGGCAAGGCTTGGCTGCGAAGGGTCAGGGGCCAAAAGTGTATCGCAGGGTGCTGAGGAGGTTAACTTCAGCTACCGGTCTTTGCCCCGAGGGTGGGGCCAGGTAATTAAGCGGGTCATCGGCAGAAGGCACACGTGCATGCAATGTGGCTGCAGTTCTGAGAGTCACTCTCCACTTGCCGTGCAGAGTGAGGGGGAGTGTGAAGCTGCAGCCATTAAGAGCGGGTTGCCCCCGTGCGTCTGGGAGCCAGAGGCAGTGTCACGGTGGCTGTGCTCAGCTTCCAGGGTTGGCAAATGCAGGTTTTCACACCCTAAACCCTAAACACTAAACCCTAAACCAACCGAGTTATTGTAGGTTTCTGGGCGGGGGGGTTTGGCTTTCGCTGTGGCTGCTCGAAGGTCAATGGGCTGCCTATTCGGGACCTTACATCCTGTGCCGCTCATGACCTCAAGCCTATGCGGCTATTCCGAGCGGGTCCCTTTATACTAAAGGGTGTAGGGTTTAGGGTTTAGAGGTTACCAAAGCCTATAGAGCTTTCAGCCAGTCTTCCTAAACCTCAAAAACCCTGAAGTCTCAGCCCTGAAATCAATCCACCAAGCCCTAGTCTGATGAGTCAGGCTTCCAGGTTGTATATATAATAAATCTATCTATCTATCTATCTATCTATCTAGATGTATATACACGCATGCACATGTATATGTGTATATATACATATATATATATGTATATATGCACACACACACACACACACACTGCCGCTCTGACTGCGCAGCCAGGGCTCGCCGTCTCCAAGTCCCAGCAAGGAGAAGGCGGGGGGAGGATCTAGAGGCTTCGGGTTCCTTTATGGGGATCTATAAGGGATCTATAAGGGTGTAGGGATGGGGGAAGTGTAAGGGCAAGGGTTACCATAAGGGCTACTTTAAGGAGTTCAGGGTCTTGGGTTGGTCTTGGGTCGCTTTAATGGGGTTTGGGATTACTTTTCGGAGGACAGGAGCACCCTACCTTGAAATCAAGCCGTAATAATCTAGATAGTCTGGTATGCCATTGGCCCAAGGGCGCGAAGAATCCGATGGCACTGATTTAAGCGAGAGGCTGATGTTGCACAGCTCTTGGCTAGACGGTTAGAGGTTTAGTTGTGGATTTGTTGTCCTTCGGTTGAAGATCTTCATATTTCTGGCGTGGGATTAGATGAACATACAAGAGTCACCTGAAAATGCCTTGCACTGATGAATCTCAAGATGGCACCCGATCGGCTCGATGTAGGCTTGCCTTCGAGTCTCGGTGAAGGGTCTTTTTGAATGCCTTCTAGGATGCTTCGGCTGTCTTGAACTGCTACTGTGCTTTGCCGAACT